ATTCCAAAATGTCGGAGAGTGTGCGTAGCAGTAAATCCTGCCAGGCGATGTCGGAGGATGGTACCGGCAACGCGGCCAATGCAGCGTTGCAGAGCTTGTCGAGCTCTGGCAGCATGCCACACAAATTCAGCAGCATTGTGAATAAAGTTGAGTCGCTGATAAGCAAAATCAACAGTGACAAAGTAAACAACTTCAAGTTGTTGCAACAGCAGCAGGAGCAACAATGTCAGGGTCAAGGTCATAGCGGCAACAAATGCGCTTCGCTTGACTCGCTGAACAATCTAACTGATGCGGAAAGCTGTGAGGAGCACGAACCGATCTACACGGACTCTGATGATGCGGAAATAGCGCACATCACAGGCACCACATCGGCGCAGGTGCACATGTCACAGCAGCAACAACACCATCACCATCAGCCGCAACACCGCCGTAGCGATTTGGATCAGCTGACTAATGAGAGCATACGTGAGTTCAACGAGCAATGCTGTGCCTCACTGGGCGCCGAGCTGAGCACCGGCAATGCGCTAGACTACAAGAATGCCTGGAGTGTTGAGGAGGATATTGTCTTCAAGTGTTGCAACAACAACCAACTGGCTGCTTTAACTGCAGGAGCCACTGGCACTTCCTCATCGCCAGGCGGAATTTTGTGCGAAGAGTGTTGCTATGAGGAGCATTTAAGCTATAAGTTGCAGAGCAATTGTAATAGCAGCAGCAGCAGCAGCAGCAGTAGTAGTAGCAGTAGCCGCAGCAGCAATAACAACCTAAACAACAACCAAAGAGACACCAACAATAATTGCAATGACAATGAAGATGACATTGACAATGATAATGCAGAGCTGGCTGGCCATTCTTCAGTTCCCAAGAGTCAGTCGGGACTGAACGCTATTTTATCAACAGCGGCAACAAAGACAAGAACAGCAGCAGCAGCAGCAACAGCAGCTCTTGCAGCTCCGTTGCCAACTGCAATGCAGCTTGGTGGCAGCATCAAGACCCGACGATCGAGTAACGCCAGCAGCGGATCCGTTAGTCGCATGGAAACCATTCTGGAAGAACCCACAGAATCAAAAGTTTCGGTCAAAGAAATTTTAGCACGTTTCGAGACCATGAACTGCAACGAGGTAAATCTAAAATAAAAAAGCATTTGTTCATATATTCAGTTCAGTCAATTGAATCGAATCCACAATTCTACTTTTCTATTTGGAATTTTTGAAGTTGAAGAAAGAAAGAAGAAGTTCCCATAATAACTGTGGCTGGCTTAGTTATTAACCAGTCAAGTTATTTCGTTGCAGTAAATGCTTTAATTTTAATTTTCTTATTTAATTGAATCTGCACTTTGTGTCAAAATATCAACATACTTGTACCTCTCCTCCTCCTGTTGCATCAAATGCACAGAATATTTGGCCCGAAAAATGTTTTTACAACGAAAACAAAAGCAACTTACATATCGATTACATTATACAGTAATTATCTGCCACAACAATATACATCACACATACACATGCACACAAGCACAAGCACAAAACAAAGCTTTTCAACATTTTAATAACAATTTATTAATAATATGCAAAATCAGCGAACAAACAAAGACGCTGAGGCATAAAAGCATTCACACCTTGCTTTGTCTGTGGAATATTGCACTTAACGGTATAGTTAATCAACACATAATCGCATTATTAGCGTGCGCATGCCCGCCTGGCCTACCAACCAACCAACCAACCAAGCCAACAACCAATACCAATACAAGTATCTTACATCATGTCTTCGCTTCATCGTCATCATAGGCCAGCTGATGTTGCGTCGACTGCGACGGCAACGGCAACGGCAACATCGACGATGACGATGACGATGAGGATGACTGCGACGGGTTGGTGGGCTAATTAGCAATAAACTAACGATCATCATCTTTGGCATAGGTGGCAGATGATTATATAACAACAGCAACAATTTGAGCTTACATTTGACGAGCGAATTCAAGTGAATGCGAGCTCTATACCCTTGACAGGCCAACAGTTGAGCAAATTCATAAGCTGGCTGTGATTTCATTTGTTCATTTTTTTCCCCCACTGTTGAGCTTTCTTTCCGCTGCAGAAGAATGGCGAAAAAGAGCCGTCTTCCTTAACTCAGAAACTTGGTATATGTGTTTACGATAACTACATCGCTTAGCTGATTAGCTAATTAGCCTGTAGACAACTAATTTTTAGCTTTAAAAATATCCAAGACTGATGAATTCCTATCCTACATCTAAGACCCAACTACAAATATAATAAGTCTGATGTACCTTGGGGCCTCCATAATCTTTGTAGGCCTAGCACCACACCTAAATCAATCTAAGCATTCGGTCAGTTTTTGTGTTTAATTACGTTTTACTCCAGTTACCGCAAATAATGATAATTTTATTTATTTTTTTTTTACGAAACATCATTCACTTATTTACCAATATCCTTTTTTAGGATTAACTATCCATTTTCATGATTATATATGTATTTGTATTCATTGTCTCCAAATTGAATGACTAATTTTTTGTTTTTTTTTCCAATATTTAATTGGAATTTCAATATTTTTGAAACAATTGAAAATTATCCAAGCATTAACTTTTCAGGCAAGCCCGTTGCTTATGAATATTTCTTTTCTAAAACAAAGTCCGTTCTACATGTTAGAATTTTTGGAAAGTTTTAATTAATCCGGGGTGCAATATTTACAGAAATCATGTTCTTTACGGTTTCGTTGAATTGTAAATTAAAAGAAAGTATGAAAGGTGTGTTGTGGGTTGCATCAGTTCTTTTGTTCAGATAGTATTGTCTTAATATTCTTATCTAATAGCTATTCAGTTTTTATGCACATTGCTCCCTTTCTCCCAGCGACTAACTCTGACTTCTTGTCTGCCACTTGTACTTGGTCAGCCATTCAGTGCTCTGCTCCACTTAGGGCAACTTTATGTTCATCTACTGGCCGTTGCGGTACAACAAACAGTAGACAACAGACAACAAACAACCAACAAGATACTACAGATACAGAGCACGCCTTGGCGTAGTTTTGCGCGCTTTACGGTTTTTCTCCGACGCACTCGAAGTCGCCAGCCATGTGAAGGCCACTCAAAAAGTTACCAAAATACATATCGTATAAAGTTTATACTTTAAACATATATGAGTACGCGTAGAGAAATGTTGACCCCAAAAATTCGCTTTTCGGCTGCTCCTGCTACGCTGCTTTTCACCATTTATTGTTAAAAACATTACCGCTCTCAAAATTGTAATTCAACTGTAATTTGATTTCAATATTTTAATTACATTTGTGCGTTTTTAGTGTCGGTGTCGGTTCGTTTGCTCTTTTCTGTTGTTTTTGTTGTTTTCGTTTCTTTGTTTTTATGGCTTTTGATAGGAATATTACAAGTACCGTGCGGAGAACGGAGGATCTATTTTTTTAAAAAGCGCTGTATTTTTTGAGAAGAACGGCTAATGGCTTAGTTAACAAATTAAAAACCTTTCGCTAAACGAAAGAAAGGCATGGTTGAGTGGTAAATGGCAGATAGGCTATAACAAAAATAAATTGTGTTTATTTAATTTGAATTTGCTATAATTGGCGTAGTTGTGGTTTCCTTTTCATGTATGTGTCTATTTATCAATAAGATGTTCAGCTTAGACCTAGCATATGAACATTAAACAGGTCCTTGGATGGATGGTGATGGATTTTTATCGAACGAGCAACAATATATGAAGTTATTTAAGAATAATGTTACAGCAATGACACATTTTTTATTATTTTAAATTAATACCAATACCTTAATTCCCTTTTTATTGAGGAACAAATTTAATGAAAATTGTTAACAAATTGTTGGCTTCCCCCGAATCAGTTCTTCCTTTTCCACTTGAGCACGGCACTAACGCATAATCGCCCATGTATACACATATTTAAATAAAAAGAATAGCTAAATAATAAAAAATACTAATATCCAGGATTAGAAGCCCATCTTTCATAATCGCCCATGTATACACATATTTAAATAATAAGAAAAGCTAAATAATAAAAAATACTAATATCCAGCATTAGAAACCCCAAATCTTTGAATTGACCAGCTTTATGCTTCCACCAATTAAATTGTAAACGATTTGCCTACATTATACCTATTATGGCTTAATTTAACAGTTGCTGCACAATAGTTTTTTTTTATGATACTGCAGCCTAAAATGCAACGTGCAGTGCGTTAATTTATTTGATGTGATTTTCGTATATGGCAAGTTGATTGATTGGTGAAAGATTTCCGCTTTCATAAACAACAGCAACAATAGAAACAACAACAGCAACTACGCGTACAAGAGCGTCCCAACTTTTACTAACCTTTTTCGCTTGAGTGTGCAAAATGCAATATGTATGTATTTTTCATTTGTACGAACATACATACTACATATGCATGCATGTATGTATGCAGGTGTGTGTGTGTGTGTGTATTTTATCTTTTGGCCAGACAGCGGCAAGTCATGAGGAGCTCGAGGTCTGGCAAAGAAAGCAATTGCAATAAATTGCGCTAATATTTTAATAAAAGCAATAAAAGTGAAAAATAAAACAACCGCAAACACTTTCGTTGGCAATAAAACAAAACAAAAAACAAAAACAAAATGCATTTAAATGCGGGTGGGTGCTAACAAGAGGGGGATGTTCGGGAGCATGTTTTATGTTGTAGGTGGGCGGCGGCCTGGCCTGGCGCCGTTGTTGCCAATTTGTGCAGCCTCCATAGGAAAATCATTTATAACACGGGCCGCTGGCGCGCCCGTTTGAAATTTGTAGGCGCCTTTGCTGCCAATGAAAAAAATAGCAAGCCGGCAAACCGGTCGCCATGAAAATTGGCAACAGGTTCGGAATGGCGCCCAGCAACTTTCACATGCCAATGACCATCGCTCGGAGTTTTGTGCAGCATTTTTATATATTTGTTATTTTTTTGCGTTGTTCAATTAACTAATTACGATTGCCGTTTCCATTTTTGTTTTTTTTTTTTGTATTTACAGTCGCAGTCCAAGGCATCGACACTCTCGTCGGGCGCGCGAGCCGCAGCTCAAACCCTAAACGTGCCGCTGGAGCGCTTGGAATCCCGTCAGGCTCATCAGCAGCAGCAGCAACAACAACAACAGCGCAACGAGCATGGCGCCTCAAATGGTGAGCGCCTGGAGGAGCAGCAATCGCATCTTGAGCTGCAGCATCATCAGCAACAGCAGCAACATCTCGACGATGGCGTTGATGAATCGTCGGGTCAGCATCATTCGATCGAGCACCATCGTTATATGAAACAGCAGAGTTATTTGCACTCCTCGCGCAAATCAAATGCTGGCCAGCAAGCCGGTGTCCTCACCAATGGACAGTCGTCCGCTGGTCAGCAAACTCATGCCTCGATTCATCATCAGCAGCAGCAACAGCAACAGCAACAGCAGCAGCAGCAACATCACGACATGGTCGCCTCCCATATGCAGCCGCATAGCTTGGACGCCAATTACATGCAGGAGGATACCAATGGCGGCATTGGTGGTGGCACCGGTGTCGGAGGCACTCCACCATCGGTCACCAAATACTCGCTGCTACAATTTGCCATGCAACACTTCCGCAATGAGTAAGTTACCCATCATTATGATATTTAATAGCTTAGTCTAAGCAGCAACCTGTCATTCCACAGCCAACTTAGCGAAGCACGCGCTCATGGACGCGACGCCGACAGACATGAACGGCATCAGGCGGCCTCAAATCGCTCCTATGCGGAACTGGTCAAGTGGCAGGGCCATCCCATACGCATGCCACTGCTGCGTCTACCCAATGATCTGGCGCCGCTCGCACTCGAGTGCTTCGATTGCATATTGCGCTATTGCAGTGATATTCCCCTTGATCCCGACCTGACCGAGGTCAAGTGCGTCTATACGGTGCTAATGGTAAGTGTACGAGTCCAAAATATAATACTTGTTACAATCTCTTTCATTAAAAGTCATAAGTAATCTGTAGAGAATATTTGCAAATGTATAAAAGCTTCTATTCACGATTATTCGACGGTCCGAAGACCTTCTTTAATATTTTATTGAGTCTCAAGTTGCTCCTTTTTCATAGAAATAAGATATTAAATTGTTTCACTGAAATTTTCTGGTATCTTTCAACGGGTGGTTTATTCTTTTTCGCCCAATTATTCCTATTCTGTGTCTTAATTAAGTCGAATTATACCCGTTTTCTTTGAGACTTTTTTTTATTGGCTTCTAACAAATTAGATTGAATTCCATATACTTATTTGTATGCATTTGCAAACAGTTGATTGAAATTGATTGAAAACCAATCAAAAACCATATTTAATGAGGTTTGGACTGGCTTAATGCTCTGCTCGAAATATATTTTGAGTTTTTCAATCTCGAATTCAATTTACAAGTATTCTTATTTCTTAAAAACATTTTGAGTTAACAAGTGAGGTAAAGATACCTTCATGTTAAGAGTACAGGCAGCTTAGCCTTTTCTACTTAATTAAACAAAATGTAGAAATGAAAATGGTTAACAACAATCGACAGTGTAATTATCTGAATTTATTTAACGATTCAATCTCCCACAGCATTGTCACAAATATTTGGCGCTGCGCGACGAGGTCTACTGCCAGCTGATGAAGCAGACAACAGCCAATCGCTCGCCGTGCCCAGACTCATCGCAACGCGCCTGGCGCTTGCTCAGTATTCTGGCCGCCTACTTTGGGTGCTCGGATGCACTGCGTCCCTACCTGATGGAGCACCTTACATCGGCCGCCTCGGACCGACGTCGCTCCTGCCATGGCACGGCCGCCGTCTGTCTGACGAATTTGCGCAAGACCGCACGCTGTGGCGGACGGAAGAATGTGCCCAGTGTAGAGGAGGTGACGGCGGTGTCGGCGGGTCGTTCAGCACGGCGTCAGATCTATCGCTTGCCAGGTGGGGCGGAGCGGGTGGTCAACACACGCTGCTCGACCGTGGTGGCCGATGTGATTGCCGAACTCTGCGCTTTGTTGGGCGTTGAATCGGAGGCAGAGCAGCAGGAGTTCTCGCTGTACTGTATTGTTCAGGGAGATGCCTTCACCATGCCCCTCGCGGCCGATGAGTATATACTTGATGTGACAACGGAGCTCTTGAAGTCTGGCCAACCATTCTATTTGATATTCTGTCGCTCGGTATGGCACTTTGCACTAAAGCGCGATCCAGCGCCCATGCCACTATATGTGGAGGTGCTTTTCAATCAGGTGGCACCCGACTATCTGGAGGGCCTGTTGCTGGAGTTGCCCGGCAATGGAGTGCCCATGCCGGAGGTTGTGCGCGACATGGCGCGCATTGCCGCGCTTCTTCATCGAGCGGCAGACTTAAGCCATGTTCCGGCCATGAAGGAGATTAAGTTTCTGCTGCCAAAGCCGGCGTTAGGCATACGAGAGATACGGCCGGCCCAGTGGGTGGGCCTGGTACAGTCGGCATGGCCCCAGGTGGCTGGACTCAGTCCTGGCCAGGTGAAGGCTCAGTTTTTGAATGTTCTCGCGGCTTGGCCCCTGTTCGGCAGCAGTTTCTTTGCGGTGAAACGCATCTGGGCCGAGGAGGGGCCGCATGTCGAGGATAATCACAGTCCCATGTGGCGTGACCTGATATTGGCTCTGAATAGACGTGGAGTGCTATTCTTGGATCCCAATACGCACGAGACCCTGCAGCACTGGAGCTTCATGGAGGTCATCTCGACGCGCAAGGTAGCCACACTCACCCACACCCACACCCACACTTTCCAGCTCCCGAATAACCGTCTTATTTTTCTTCCCACTCTCAGGTACGCTCTGAGGACGGAGCCCTCTTCCTGGACATGAAGGTGGGAAATCTAATGCAGCAGCGCGTCATTCGCGTGCAGACGGAGCAGGCGCACGAGATCTCGCGCCTGGTGCGCCAGTATATAACGATGGCGCAGATCAGTCAGAGGGAGAAACGGGAACTCAATTAAGGCACAATGCAATTTTTTTTTTGTTCATTTCTAAATGTTTAAGGAGGGCGAGCAATGCGTGTGTATGTTTACATATGTATGTATAGTATGTATGAACGATTTATGTGTAGGCCTATGTCTCTCACTTTTCCACCGCTTTGCACTCTGGCATTGTCTTCTTCTTCTTATACTTCGGCAACGTCCCGAAGGCCATATTTCCCTACGAATTATTTGCATAATTTTTTGGATATATATTACAAGTATATATGTTTATATTTTTTTTCTCCCTACTTTTAAGCAACGAAGTGCAATTCAAGCAGCAATTATCCCTACAACGTCCCCAACACATCACCAGCCCCTCCTGCTTTGTTGTTTGTTTTGTTTTGCTTTAAAAATTGTATTTTTTTTAAATAACTTAAAACTGAATTATGAAAATATTATTAGTGCACATTTCTACAACCCATTTAAGAGTAGCAGCTTTTTTTTTTATTTGAAAAATATCATTTGTTAAACGAAAGTTTATGCAGTTGTGTATTTAGTTTAATTCTTAAATTACCATAAATAAATAAAATTATATATACGAATAAAGAATGCTGATAAATGAAACGCTTATATTAATTTCTGTGAGGATCGGAGTAAATTCTATACTTAGAGCAAGAGAGACAAAAATGAAAAAACTGATGGTTTCTAAAGAATTCAACTAGAAACGTAGGACTGATTCTGCAGCTTATGATCGATTTAAAGATGGCTTTTTGGATGAAAGCACTGTCTTGTATCTTGAAGCTTAAGGTATATTTTAAGGACATCAGTTAGTCGATGTGATGGCGCTTCCATTTCGTCTAGCTGGTATTCATATCGGCTGTATAGCAGCTATTTAATACCTGAAAATAGTTAGGATTGAACCAAGAACTCATTAGACAGAGATTTGATCTAAACGCGCAATCTCTTAAATGATAAGTCAGAGAAGAGTCATTGGCTTGGTTCTCAAAGGCCATTGAAAATTTTATTTTGAGATACAAATAACCTCTATTTTGTTCATAAATAAATTAACTGAAGTTTTCCACTCATTGAGGAATATCTGGTTGCTTATATGGCGATAATCATAGTCAGTTTTCGATTGCTATAGTCATTCAGATTTATTTTCAATCCAGTAACTCAACAGATCAGTCTTCTATACACACTTTACCAATCATTTGACCGTTAGAAGGAAAACAAGCAATAAATTATTAGGGTTTTATCATTTGCCGTTCTTTAGTTGGAAGTGTTTATGCAAGGCTTAGGGGAAACGACCATTTATTATTATTTTAATAGAAAAGAATAAAAGTAAAGCTATATAGTACATAGTTGATTTCAATCCTTGACCAACATCATAAAAAGGGCGTAAAATTGGCATTGTTCTTACATCACAGAGTTAATGTAACAAAATATTTAGCGATAGTGAAAAATATTGAAAAACTTCATTTCAAACATTATTTTTAGAATAAATAAAAAATCAATTTCTTAAAATATTGTGTCGCATATAAACGAATTATTGATCCTTTTTTAACATTTTTGGAAAAAATGTTAACGAATGTTACAAAGGAATAAGATCGCTTACCTTAACTTGGACAATAGTTTTGTTTGTCTCAAAATTTGAAGAAGCCGCGAATATGTGCCATCTAAATATACATAAATATTTTGGATGCCTTTAAATAGAGAACGACGAGAAGGTAATGCCATTTTTTAAATACTATCGAAAGGCAGTTTTTATCATTATACAATAGTAACAGTTTTCGTTCTTTTGTTCAATATGGTTTTTTATTTTATGCTGCAATAAAATTGTTATCAAGAAATGCTTAAATAAGTCATATTCAGGATATTTTAAGCAAGCTTAAGCTGACAAATTGCTTATACTATATTTAAATGTTTATTTGTAAAAAAAATAAAAGCTGTATAAGGCTTGGAGTAATTTTGAACATTTGCTTATTGTTTATTTATCATTAAATAAATATTTATTGCGACAAATTAGCTACTGGAAGTGCAAAACCTTTTATATAATATTTGGTATAATCTGATCATTATCATCCTCTTCATCCTCCTCGTATTCGTCATCCTCTTCTTCGTCTTCTTCGTCCTCGTCGTCATCCTCATCATCTTCGTCGTCCTCGTTGACACTATGAACAATGTCCGGGGCTGCCGATGGTTTCATGGCTGCCTCTGCCACTGTGGCGCCCGGTTGCGTCGCTTGTGGTTGCGCCTGCTCATGTGCATTCAACTGTGAGTCTCTGTGTTTCTCACTTGTTGCTGATGCTGTTGACGCTATTGCTGTGCGAACACCAACTGTTGCATGGGCCAAGTTTGTTGCTGCCGCCGCGGTGGAAGGCGTAACACGCCTCGTTGTTGTCTCATCAGTAGGAACAGCCATAGTAGTTCGAATGGCGTTTAACGCTTCATTAGTCGCATTATGGCTGCCAGCGGCAATGGGGCGTGCTGGTGCTGGTGCTGGTGCTGCCGCACTCGCCGTCACCATTGCTGTCGTCATCGGCGTCGCTGTCATCATTGTCGTCATCGTGGTTGGCACAGATGCGGTATCATTTGCCCGATTTGCCTCGTTGACCGGCAACTTTGTTGCCTGCTCCATTTCTCTGCTGTTGTCATCAAGTGCACCTGCGGCCAACTCTGGCCTGATGGCTGGCTCACGTTCGCGGTCCACCTCGGGCGGCGGTGTAATGCGAGGCGGCGCCACAGATGTCAACAAAAACTCATCGCGTATCTCACAGTTCTTGCCCAGGTAGCCCTGCTTGCAGAGACAGCGATAGCTGCCATCCTCCCGGCTCAGTGAGATGCATTTGCCCTCGTTCTCGCAGGTATCTGGATTGTCCGCGCAGTAGTTCAGCCCTGTGCCAAAACGAAATGCATTAAAAGTTGGCATGCCTCTTGGGCGTGCTGTGCTCATCATCGCTCACTTTCATCGCATAACATGCCGCCCCAGCCGGCGTGGCAGTTGCACTCCCACGGCGCCTCACAGTCGCCATTCACACAGCCTGGATAGGGGAAGCATTTGTCACATTGGGTGCCGGTCCATCCCACTTTGCAGCTGGTAAGGAAGTAGGATAAAGTACAATATAAGCTTTGACTTAAATCTTAAGCTTTTTTCTTATTTAATGGCACAAAGGGATGAGCTGAAATTTAGGATGCAAGCTCTTCACTTTACAGTAGAAACATAAAATGAATTGTATTTTTAACTAATTCTGAGTTTAAAGCTTGTGCACAGAGAATTGAGTAATTAATAAACTTTTAAAGCTAACATGATATGTTTGAGTTAATTGATTATATATGGATTATTAACATATTTTATTATTATTTGTTTGAGTTCATCAAACAACAGCGATCCCTACTTCTTTAATGCAGTACACAATTTAAAATTTGCCCTTTAGTGTTCATACTAGTATAACAGACAACAACATCGATTCGATCTAAAGGAATTTATTTCTTGCTTTAAGCCGCATGAACAATAGATGTTTTCCATTTATTGGAGGCAAAGGTAATGAAGCCTTCTTTGCTCTTTGTAGAACAAGAAGGACTATTGACCATCTCTCCTGCCCATATGCACAACTATTAACACTTTCCATAATTATTCTGGCTGATTTCTTCTAAGCTATTAATAATATCTTCCACTTGTATTCAGTCGAACATTGTCCATCTTCTCTCTAAAAGCCTTGATCTTAGCAAAAAAAAAAAAAAAAATTATTCTCCTTATTATAATTATTTTTAAGTTCCTTGTTTTCTTTCATCGAGTTTAAAAATAAAATTCTTTCACAATTTTGTATGCTTTCTCTACCTTTGCAATTACATTTTAGTGTTTTTTTTTTTACCCAAACAGTATTATGCATTATTGATCAAAAAATGCTTGGATCAATGCTTCAATGTGTGTAAAATGTGAAAAAATACCTTGGAGAATTTTTCACGCATTTGCAAATGTTGTATCAATTAAAATATTTTTAAATACAACACTTAATTAAAATCTCAATGCAACTTTATATAGATGGGTTTCTATACTGCTTACGTATAACTTAAAATTTAAACGTTTGTTTTTTAAGCATTTTAGCAGACATTTGACTCAAAAAACAGAGTCAACATTTTAAAAATTTTGTTTTTGTAGTAAGTTGGGGAATATATTTAACTCGATAAAGAAACGGGGTTAGGGAACAATTTGTATACTTTCTAAGTAGCAAATACCTTATACAAATACATTATTGTTTAGCTATAATAGAGCGGAATCGATTAATACCAGAGCTCTTCAGTTTGAATTCGCAATTCAATTTATGTTTTCAAAATTGTACTTTTTAGAAAATTAGAATTAGAAATGAGAAAATTTAGTAATAAAACGCTAAAACAATAAACAACATTTTCTGAAACTGGCAGTAAGTGTTTTTTTTTCAGGATGATGAATTGCACATTTGGCCTTTAACTAAGTGAACCTTTCTTACCAAACTAAGCCTATGACCCCATTTTAGTATAATACATATTTTTATCAAACATCTTTAGAGTTATGAATGTTGAAGAATTTAGGTATGTTGTGAGTCTTTAATGAAGTCTGCATCACTATAAACACACATCTCCTGATATATAGTACAAGTATGTATGTATGTAGTATAGGTGTGTGCGGGTATGTGGTTAGGTGCATTTGCAAATTGCAAGCTCGGATCTGCGTTCCACTTACCGACACTCGCCTGGGCGGCGACAGTAGCCGTGCTGCTTGCTGCAGTCCGAGGCGCAAAGCGCTTAAAGTCCCCGGGGAGCAGACAACATAAATTAAATTCAGCGGCAGAGAGAGAGAGAGAGAGAGAGGTGACAAGGAGCGGACTTACGTGTTTGACAGAGTAGTCCTGTATAGCCGGGCAGGCAGTTGCACTCCAGTGGCTTGCTGCAGGTGCCGTGCTGGCAGCCTGGCATGGTGGAGCATTCGCCGCAGGTGCGTCCGGCCCAACCTATGCGGCAGCGGCACTCGCCCGGTGCCTCGCAGTAGCCGCGTGTGCTGTGGCAGCCGGCTCGACAACTTGCTGCCAGTTGAGAAGGGGAGACAGATGGTAGAGAGGCGTATTTGGGAAGCCGTTAAAGGAGGCAACTAGCGACTGATTTGGGTGCTGGCTACACTTACGTTCCGTGCAGAAGAGGCCGTCCCAACCGGGCTTGCACAGACATTCGAATGGCTTGTTGCAGGTGCCGTGCTGGCAGCCCGGCAGCGGAATGCACTTATCGCACATGTCACCGGTGTAGCCGATACGGCATCGACACTCGCCTGGCCGTTGACAATAGCCTACAAGATGATGCAAAGATGACAGGAAATTCCGGCGGCAATTGTGTGATTGTCATTTAATTAGCGTGGATAGCCTACCATTCATGGGATCACAGCCGCGTCGACACATCGGGACTTGGCACAGGTCGCCCTGCCAGCCGGGCAGGCACTTCACATCGCCCTTCTCATCGCAGATGTAATGCGAATTGGCCTTGTATTTTTGTGGCTTCTCGCAGGCCTGTGAGGAAACGCTGTTTTTTTAAAGCTATTTTCGGTGGGAAGTCCAACACTTACGCGTTGCTTCCAGAGTGGAATGTGTGTGTTGCTTGATTGTCGCGCATCAAAGTTGCGTCTGAAGGCCTCCACATCAGTCAAGGCGACGAGCAGTGCCAGTGGTAGAAGGAAAATGGTTTGTGCGTTGGGGACGCGTTGTAGCATGATTGTGGCTGAATGTCCTAAAGGGATTAAGTCTTTATTCTGATGAATTCGGAGCTAAGTCGCGTGATTTCATGTACTGCAAGACATGAGCTCTGCGACTTAAGAATGCCTTACTTTATACCACTAAGATATTACACAAAGTACTTGCAATATTAAATTTATTTATAAATAAACAAAATGCACTGAAAAAAGGTAGAATTTATTGATTCATTTAAAGAATATGTTGTGGTACACATATTAGCTTTTACTTGTAGTTGGCTTTTTATTGCTCGGAATTCGAACATTTTCCAAACTTAGGGAGATGTTATTTACTTATTAGTTTTCTGCATAGTTACATACGTTATTGAAGGCCTCATACTAAGCCTTAAGTTAATCCACAAATACCTAAAATAACTGGCTAATAAGCCTTCCCCCACCGGGTCTGAGATTCCATTTTTTTAATTAGCCTATAATTTCAAGATGGAGCATCCACCGGGGAGGAGGCGTTCATTAGATATTGTAATTTGATTAGATTTTTCCTACTTTGGCTTTTCTATCTTTTAATGTTCTTTGTATAATTTTTAAATATTGTTTTCCATGTCAATATTCATTATTTGCTGACATAAAATAAAAAATGTTGAGGCAAACAATGAAGCTCGAATATTTCAGAATTTGCTTAGCTTATAATGATTTCGGAATATTTTCAAAAACGTTTGGAGATCTCTTTTTCTCATAGTTGACAATACCCTCAGATAATACATATTTGTTAAATGAAAGTTATCTATATCTAATCGAGACGCTCAGAAAGACTGGGAATCTAATCAATTATTGGTTGCTCGAAATATGGACTAATATGTAGAAACTTTTCTGCATTATGTGGGATGTGACAGTTTTTTCCACGCTTACAAGTAGAATGAATGAAGCACCGAGCTTGCTCTGAAGATATTGTTACTCATGCCCATAAATTGATTTTTATGTATAGTTGTGAGTAAACTATTTCCGGTCGCTTCGAAACAACTAAATATGTACATAAATTTCTTCCATAGGTGCTTAGAACGTATCTAGAAACAATGTTGTAGCACTAATAGAAATCGATGGCGACCTAAAGAGAGTCGCGCACACACACGCACAAGCATACACACCACATGACAATTAACATGTTTCAAGACAACTTTCTTCACAGCAACAAAAACAACAACTACAGCAAAATATAAAACGAAAATGTCAAGTTGACAAGTGATTTTATGATGAATCAGAGAGACCCAAGAACTCAAAATAAATACATACAAGTATGTATATAAACGGGCGAATGTGTAATTTATGCGAAACTTCACTCCCAACTTCTTGCCACTTTGCACCTTTCAGTAATATAGTGTGGCAATTGGCGCTGCTCAGGGCTTGGCATCCAACTTCACTCGCGTTCGCCGTGAGACTAATCAATTAGCTCTGTCTGGCCTTCACCATGAACCCGGCAGCGTGGTCTTGGACTTGCATGGCATGCCGCGCATGCTCAGAGAAACGTGAAACCGGCAGTAGCAGCAACCACATTTGCTTACGGCAGTTGGGTAATTGGGTCAAACGGTAAAACAGCCAAAACAGCTGAGCTGAGCTGGGCTGAACTGAACTGAGCTAAACAGCGGTGTAGCGTCAAGTTGCGCATGCGCACCAAAAATGAAATGCGGCCCGAGAAATAAATGAAAACAAGTCCCGACAACTCAAGAAATTTCTCAGTCCAAGCTTCTACGGCGATGCGAATGGCTTCGATTGTGCAATGACAGTCAGTCAGACCGTTGCACAGTATGCTGTAGTTTAGACAAAAATCAAAGAAATATTATTTCGACTTGCTTGATGGTTCCATAATTATACAAGTAAGAGACATATTGGCTGATTCTACTCGTTTATATCATCATACAAGGTGCGTTCCAAAGTAAACAGGACTTTTTGAATCTAGCGCCCCCTGGTGGCACTATCTATATGTCGACTGGTGCGTTAGAATCTGTTATTTTTATCGATTGTCCAGTGAGAATTTCATGACATTTCATCGATTGGAAGTGAAGTTATTGCGTTTTAAGTGTCAGTATGTTTGTGTTATCGGTGCGGAAATGAGCTTCGAACGAAGAGCCAACATTAAATTTTGTTTTAAAATTGGTAAAACTTTTACCGAAACTTTTCAATTGATGGAACAAGTTTATGGCGATGACTGCATATCCCGGAGCAGAGTGCACGAGTGGTTTCAACGTTTTTAAAGTGGTCGTGAGGACATAAATTACGATCAACATGTGGGCCAATCAAAATTCGTGATCACCGAAAATTCCATCGAAACTGTGCGTGAATTCATCAAAAATCAGCCGAAATCATCATGGAAATTGATGGAAATGGAATTGAACATCTTCAAAACATCGATTTATCGCAATTTGACCGAACATTTGGGCTTACGAAAGGTGTGTGCACGGTTTGTTCCGCACATCGCTCGACGCTTGTGACCGATTATTTGACCAAAAATCACATTTTAACCATTAACCACTCGCCGTACTCACCTGATATGGCACCGTGCGTCTTCTACCTTTTCGGAAAAATGCATAGCGTTATGCAGACGTAGAGGCCATTCAAAAGGATCGTGCAAAAAGCTGTATTGAAGCAGAAGGCGACTATTTTGAATAAAATAAATTGATTTTGCCGAAAAAAACATTTGTTCTGTTTTTTTTTTTAAAGTCCTGTTTACTTTGGAACACACCTTGTATTGCCCACGACACTGTAGCTAGAGACATTCGAATATTAGTTTCCTCTAGTGCCGCACTTTCGCATTTAGTCGAAGCTGCTCAAAACTGTGCGGGGAAATCATGAAATCACTTATTTAGTGCTAGAGAATATATTTTTTTGGACTGTAATCAGGAAATGAATAGAAGAAGTGGCACTGGATGTTGTATTATAAAAACTGTGGGACTTAATACACAAAAACGGGGCCGTAGTTCTAAGTGCTTTGATTCAAGGAATAAAAGGCAATATAGCTTCAACACAGGAATGAAGAACATATGTATAATCGTATGTCTCAACATGGAGAAAATGTAAAAGTTGATATTATTAAATCGTCCCCTAATTAAATTCCATTCTGATTATTTTACATATTTAAGCCAAATTTGTTGAAACTGCAAAACAGATCACTAATCTATTCAAGTTGTCCTTATAATAAAAGTTGAAACCAGCTCAAAAGGCTTGCTCTTATCCGATAACTAAGAAACAACTAAGTAGAAACTTAAAGAATTTAGAAAGAAAGTTATTCTCCCATTTAATGAAATAATTAACGCCGTTTACATCAACTGTTTTGACTTACCTTTGTAGTTCGAGCCGTAAAGAAAGTCATTTCGATTTAAAATTATACATGTTTGTTCTTTATTCATGATTTTTCATACATGCTGATGACTTTAATACGTGTACAGCAAATTATTCGACTAATTTTGATCGACCTAAGTTCAATTTAGTTGTGTTTTGAAATCTTCGTTTTATGCACTACAGTACTCGTACAATTCTACGGAATCGCTTGGTTTCAAGATTATAATTACCATTTGTCTTGATCGTGTTAGAGGTGATGACTTTTTTGCTGTTAAATTTATATTTATATTTTAACTGCCGCTGTATTTTGTGTTAAGAGACAAGCGAGTTCTCTGTTGCTTAGAAAATTTACAACTTCAAGAAAAAATGTTCGTGTGTACTTGTATTTAAAAAAAAAAAAAGAAATACGTTTTTTGGGCGTTCCTAATTTGAATGTCGTTTTAAAATACTTAAGTTGTGTTTTATGTTCTAATGTTCTCATCTGGTTCGAGAAAATAATTGAAATTAAATCGTATTTTTGTACCCTCAACCATTTTACTTTTATGTTTTATATTTAAAACGTACCCATAAATACTTATGTGTGTATATTGTAATGATGAATTGAATGCACGCCTATATTTATGCTGTTGTGTGCTTAGGTTTAATTGTTGAAGTAAAACATACATATATAAGAGTACTTCTTAACTAGTCGGGGACATTATGGGGTTACAGACAGACAGATACATGCGTATATACGTGTATGTAATGCTTACATAGTTTTAGTTTTTCTGTGGTTAGTATGTGCTTCGAACAGCCGCCCTTTGCGCTCTTCCTGTATGTGTTTATGCATAGGTATAAGTATACATTGCACCTTGTTTAGGATCTGAATATATGTATTTTCCAGTTTCAAACTCTGCTCAAGCCCAGGGAGGGCTCCCAGGAATTCGGAAGGAAATATTCTTTGACCTGAACAGGGCACAAGAAACAAGTCTCTAATAATGTTTGTTGTCTAATTTTCTAGTGCTTACGTGGCTTGCCTGTTTTGCTTTGTTTTTGCTGAGAACTTGTTCATGTCATTAGGTGCGTCGTATAGTGGCTTACAAAAAAAATTGTTTTCTATTTACAACTTCGGTACAGCAGTAACTGGCTTCCAACGGCAATGGATTGCTATTCCAATGGAATGGAGCCAGCGCCAAGTACAGGCGAGCTCAGCAATCGATTTAATCGATTCAAGTATGAATGCATGTTGCAGGTTGTGTTATACGAGTTACTACTGTATTATAGCACGATTACTACTACCACATCGACAAAAAAACGCGTACGCTTCATTACTTAATTAACTGTCTTAAAGTTTACTTAAATATTTACTTAATGCTGACCAAACATGTACGATGCCTGTGATATAGATGTGTCTGTGTCTGTGTCTTTGTCTTTCTGTGTGTGTGTGTGTGTTGGAACTGGAGAGTGGGGAGAAGGCTTAGCAGCTTCATTATGTGAATGTTTGGTAGAGTTTGTTTATGATGATATGATGGGTTGTGCCGGGCTGTGGCATGAGCTGTTGCCGACTCATGGCCCCCCTACGCGCGGAGACTACACATCGACGTGACCAAGAAAGGAAATTCAAAATTCAAAGTATATAGAAGAGGAGAAGTTTCCGCATTTGCAGCCACTGCATTGTCCTTGCCAAGGGCTCTTAGACAAATATGAACTGCGCATGATTGCACTTCTTGGGCGGACCGACGGTTAGACGCAGCCACTTGCCCCGACATGAGGGCGCCGCCAGAGCGCTCCAGCGCGTCGTGCGCCCGGACAGACCTTCACCACGGCAATGATAGCTCTGGGGCTGGGGTGTCACCAATGGCGGCGTTGTCGCACTGCGTTTGGAGTTTAGGGAACGCTGTCGATGCGGTGACGACAATGATGATGATCGCTGCTTCGAACGCTGCTTGTACTCAAAGCTCTCGTTGCTGTCCGTATTTAGCATATTTTGTGCCTCATCCTCGTCATCTTCGTCCTCGCCGTTGCCAGCCTCGTTGTCGTCCTCATTGCTCTCTGGCGTTGCATCCTCATCGGCATCCATTTCGTCGTTACCAACGGCGCCGCCAGCTTCATCTGTCAAATATTGCTTGGCCGGCAACGATCGGTGTGTTGTTGTTGTGGTGGTACTGCTTGTTGTACTAATGGCCTTCGAAATCGGCGCACTGTCCTGTATGAGTGCCTCTAGATCGCAGCGCACGGTAATGCGATCGCCTGGAAAATTCGGCAAAAATTATTGGTATTTAGAAATGGGATGAAATAGAAAAGGAACTTAGTAGTCATAAGCTTAGTAAACCTATTTTACGATATTGAAATTATAAATGTAACTATTATAGAATTGTAAATAAACTGAAAACCAATGTCTAACGTATTATTTTCGCTGGAGGTTTGTGGTAAGAAAAAAGCCAACTGCATATTGAAATACCAAATTTCTGGGGAAATCATAATGGAAAACTATCTGATTTTTAAAATTAGTGCGCAATAAAAAATAAACAGAAAGCGGTCGAAATAATAAACAACTAATTTTAATTCTTGAGAAACACTGATTGCAGATTTGGAAACTAACAATGAAAAAATGGAGAAGGTGGTATAAAATTTGTACTCCAAGGTTAATAATAAAACCTACAAAATTGGAACCAAATTAAATTCTTTAGTTAATTATTTAATTTGTATGTGGTACATAAAAAATTATTTGTATTGGCTTAGGGGGAAGTACCTTATAGTTTGCATTACTGCATGTAATAAATCTCCAAAAAAGCTCACCCGATTGATAAAGAGCAACAACAAAAAATCAGCAATAAATGCTTTTGCTTTTTTGAAAAAAGCATGCGTGTAGACTTCAAATAAAAATATTCAACACTTGTAACTTGAGGCATAAATATATGTGTTTTTTACGATTTTTTACGACACTTTACTGGAGCTTACAGAAGTGATTGGTGGCACCTTCGAAACAAAATCTGAAAGTGTTACGACACCGATGGTATTTTAGACAATAAGTTAAAGCTTTCGTTATTCTCAATATGGTGCGCGTCAGCATTAATGGCCAGCCACCGGTGGAGCTGGTCCCCTATGTTAGATACCGCATCGGGAGTCGTTCATATATGGAATTCTACATAGATCACGAAGTAAGTGCTCGCTTATAATATTGGCTCACAAAAATGCGTTAAGTGTTTGCTCATTACAGAGCATTGAAGGCTATCATGGCGTGTTTGATTGCGAACCCGATTGTGTGTATGTTATAAAATTATTGGGCCAGACATTCGTGAATGGAAAAGAAGTCGAAGTGCAAAAATTAACCTCAGAGTCAGCTGGAGAGGATGGTTTGGTGAAGCTGCGCTTTGGCGAAGTTGAGGCTGAAATGTATTTCGACAGTGACTCGACTAATGATGAGGTAAATATTGGTGTTGCATTTCTAAGAGCGAATAATGAAACTATTGATTGATTCGCAGGATACAACCTTGACAGAAGCTTCTGTTCTCACAAAAGATATAAAAAAAAAACTCGACTGCAGTAAACATGAAAAGTAATTACACTCGTATTGGCAACTGGCCAACTTTATTATGGTTTATTAGCCAAATACATATGTTACATGCATTTAAAATGAACAAACAAAACATGTTTGTCGTTGCTAAAATACACCAGTTGTTGGGTAATAATTAAATGTTCGAGCTCTACCTGAAATTGCCAAATTGTTCATTTTTGATTTCAAAATTCTGATTCCAAAAAAAAAAACTTAGCATGAATCAGTGAGCCCTGATCAATGGTCAAAAACGTGTGTTGAACACTTCAATCTTTAGAAACAAACTTGATATTTAATGAAATTCTTCAGGCTATTCACTATTCATTTCGGGAATAAAATGTGACTATTCTGTTCAATGATAGATTAGGATGTAATCCTTAAGACTATATTATTATTTATTGTTTACCTTTATTAAAAAAAACCTTTTTGCAAATATTGGAAGCTCGATGGCTCGATTAAAGTAAAAAAGTCGAAGTCTTGCAGCCATGCAAAAAAAAAAAAACACTTGTAGAGGGATAGAAAGATAAACGAACAGAGATACCCGTACTTAAATCAAATAGTGCTGGCCCAAAAAAAAAAGAAAGGAATTCAAATGAATTCTCTACACAGGCAACTGGCTATGTGGTGTAAAAATGTTGCATTATCTCGTAGTGGAGTTACATATGTCCTGACTGAAATAATTGTACTTACCCTCCAGCATTAGATTGTAGGGAGGCAGCTTGTGACAGGCCTTCGATGCTTTGATTACCTCGAATTCCACGCAGTACCTGCAATGAGAAGCAAAGAGTGGCGATTGAGAGATAAGATATACCAAGTAATTCGAAGAAGCCGGAAAACATTGTCAGCAAATGCAGCGATAAAAACTATAAGAAGAATAATTAAAGGTATGCCCTGCAGGCGGGCTCGGAACAGCCGGAATAAAGTTTTGTTCGTTCATTTATTTGGTTGTTTCTGCTCACTCAGTCAGTCACTCAGCCATTCACCACCCACGCCACGCCCCCTCCCCCCCTACCCCTTCTCAGCAGCAGCGCCATTTCCACATTTCCACTCATCCGTGCAGAGCATCATTCATTAATTATGCACGTCATTGAAGTGAAGCAAGCGACGCTCATTAGAAGCGAACAAAGCGAGCGAGCGAGCGAGCAAAGTAAAGTTCAAGATGGGGCAGGCAAGAGGACAGCCTGAACGTAAACTTTTGCTATCTGCCATTATGGCGCACATAATATTATAATTATTATGATTTTGCTTTATCAATTACACACGCACTCACACACACCCACGAGGACAAAATGATTGTGCAATTGTGCGCAACTGGCAGCGACAAAAGAAAACTTGCTCGCTAGGCGCCTATACTCGTAAATAGGCAGTATGGAAGCTTACGGGGTCGTGGCGCCACTTCAAAGGCAAATGGCAATGGCAAACGCAGTCGAATGAAAACTTGAACTGTCTATTAAGCCTAACAATTTCCGTTTCCGTTGCGTAAAAAAGCAGCGATGCCGGCGATGGCGATGGCATTGGCGACGGCGACGGCTTCTTCAGTTCAAAAAAGAGAAAGAAAACAAATTGGAGAAAATAAACACAGCCGGCTGCCAAAAGTCGTGTCATGTGTTTGGGTGCGTGTGTGGGTGATGTTTGTTTGACAGCTGTCAAGGTGTTGTCAGCGGATATTGCGTCGGAAATTCAAAAGCGCCTGTCACCCAACATGGTCCATGCCGTGGCAGAAATCGAAAAAGGTCGCCCCCTTCTTGGTGCATTAGTTATCGGTTACTTGGCTACTTACAAGTAGACCATCCATTCAATTACCAATAAAAATGTGAGACGAAATGCTGCCAAAATTAGCTGCAATTCAACAGAATTTTCATTCAATTGACAAAACGGAAATCAAAACCGGCAGCAGACCACAAACAGAAACACAACAACCCTCCAAGCGCCATTAATAAAAAATAATTAAAAACGGTCAAAGGTTAGGGGCGCACACTTAATTAAGTTGCCGGGGCAGTGCAGGCACAAAAAAAAAACAAAAAAAACATTTAGACAGGTTTGAGGCATTCGAGGTTGTGGACGCAGTCGCGCCAGTAATAAAGGTAAATTGAAAAAATTAATGTAAATAAAGAGAGTAAAATGGAAAAGCGGCGACGTGAATCTCGTCGTGGTGGACATGGATGGGCGACGCACACCAAGCAATAAAAATAAATATAATAATAAAAATAAACAAGGCAATGCATGAAAACTTCAAGAGCAAAACATAATTAAAGACAAGCGGCGAACAGCCAAATACCAGACGTTGGAGTAGGAGCAACAGAATTGGAGAGCGGGATGGGATGGGGATGGGCGGAGAGGTAGAAGGAGGAAGCCAAACAATTTTAGAGAAATGTAGTAGGTACTGGTCAGGACAGGGGGGAGGTGGAGGCCAGGGACTTTCGCTAACGATGCTGTCGCCGGCCACACAAAATGGCGGCTATTATTGCGGCCGAGTGGCGGCTTTAGCTTTGGCATGAAACAGAAAAGATGCGACCATAAAAAGCAATTGTTATGGGGTGTTTGAAGAGAGCACCACCACAAGCTGCCGCCAGCACCACCCCCACCCCCACCCTCACCACCACCTCCATCCGCAGTAGAGGTTCCAAGATCACGCAGTGCGAACCGTTTAGTACTTAATAATAGCTTGGACAACCTTTAATGGCTAGTAAAGAGCGTAAGTGTGGGTGTTTCAGTGACAGGACAGTTTTGCTTTGAGCCATTTTATTGGAGGACAGTTTTGTGTTTGGTGATGAGCCGTCATTAGTTAATATATAGGAGTTCACGGTAGAACTGATTAACGAATGCATTTTTCCTTCAAACATTCTGATAGAACAATCGTTTATAGTTGACTTTATTTGAAATTGACAAAACCTGATCAGGATCTTCAGCCCGAGACAGCCATTGCAGTCTTTGGCATTTTGAAAAATCAAAAATGATCAGTTTGCTTATATTTGAATAGGCTCGGAGGGCTTATAAATCCTATAAACAGTAACAGTGAAACATCTTTTTGTTTCTTACTAAACCTAAACTAAAACTAAAAGTCAGTATATACTTGTATTCGGTAATGTAATTCATTTTGTCTTACAGCGCTAAAAATACTCTGGAAACCAAATTAAAAATTAAAAATAGCCCGTCTAAAAATTGAAGATTTGTAATTTTGAAAAGTAATGCAAAAAAGCGTAAACATAATTTAAACGAAGTTTGAATCCAAAAGTTTTAAAAATGTACATGTACGTATCTAAAATTGTTATATTTAATTATTAGTTATATAGTATTTCCTTTAATTTGTCGTGTTTTGATTATTTGAGTGCAGTCCTTATTGTGACATTAGTCCTTACTTCATTGACGATTTCACATTTATTAGTTATGTTTCTTAAATATACAAGTGTTGTTTATACAGTGCATTGTTCATTATTTAAGCGATTACAAATAGTTGATGAGGAACAGGTCGATTAGAAAGAGTCCATCTATATGTACATCAACTACAAGTATGTCAATATAGAATTGGCTAAGCACGGGCTTGTTAAAAGTTTTCATATTCGCTAAGCTTGATTAGAAGAAGGCGCAATTTACGCGCCTCTAGTCCGATGGTGAGCGGCTCAGCGGGCGCTTGTTCCGTGGCTGAGTAAATGTTTGCGGGTGTGAACAGGCCGTAGGCCTCGCAGGATTTGAGAAAGCTGAGCACCTCCTGCACTGCCTGAAACGGCAAAATGATGTTCTGCTTGGCCATGCCTGTCAGCAGGCCAAGCACACAGCGCTTAACGTGCAACCAAGTGTCGGCATAAAGACGAGCCCCGGAGCCGCCTTCGAGGGCGTGTGCGATACGAGAGAGTCCAAACTCATAGTTGGACTTGGCGCAGTAGAGGGTGCCCACAACCAGATTGACAATACATAGGTGATGGTATTGCTTGCCCAAGTTTCCCTTCAGCTCTTCAGCCTTCTCCACCTTGCGCATCAATTCCTCAGCCTCCTCGTTCTGAAAGGTCATGATGTAGGAGACACACAGGTTGGCCAAAACGGCGGCGGAAACGGACATGACGTCGTCCGTATGCTGACGCACTATTGGCTCATAGAATGCAGCCGCCTCCTTGTATTTGTCGCCCTGCATGAAGAGCACGTGCCCGGCATTCAAACGCCAAATGGGATTCTCAGAACAGAACTCGGCACTAGAACGAAACTCCCGTTCCGCACCGAGAAAGTCATCATCCCGCCAAGAGATCCATGCGCGTGCCATAACCACCGGCAGGTAACTGCAACAGAGATATATTCATGTGCAATTTGTTTTTCAAAAGTTCGTCCGCTTGGGCAACACTTACAGTTCCAGCGCGTGCTCGTAGTCCTTGAGTGCGTCTCGCAAGGCTTGTTGATCGGTTGTGGCACGCACCTCTTGCACCTTTGCCGCCAGGCTGCGGAGCTTGCCGGCGAGACTGGAGGCCAGCGTGCCCAGCTTTTTCTCAGCCAGCTCTGCGCTGGTCTGTGCCGTGATCAGGGCATCCAGCAGTTCGTATAAATATTGCGACAAGTACTTGTAAGTGAGATCCGTGTGCTCGGCCAGTATATCGGCAGCCGTTTCGTACATCTCGTGTTTACAGCAGATGAGGAGAATATTTGCGAATGTCTCCTTTGGGCAGGCTGGTGGACCGAGCTGCAGGAGAAAGGCGAGCTTACGCAGTCCTGCCACAGGCCCCTGCGTATCTGTCAATGCCATGTTGTGCAGTGTCACAGGATCTAGTTCGCTTTCGGCACGCGGCGGCAGGTCCAGCAGCGCATCCCGTGCCGACTCCATATTACCATCCTGATACTCAATGGCCGCCTTCAGATTCAGCGCCTGCGTAATGCCCGAAACGGCCATGGTGATGGGATTGCCCACACTGCGTGCACTTCCATCCGTGTCGATTTGGGCGCCAATGCCCAGCTCGGGGTGGTTGCGAATGCCACGTTCCACAATTTCCGATGTGTAGTCAATGGCCTGGGAGCGCTCCTTCTTACGAAAGTGCGTCAGAGCCAAGTTGTAGGCCACCAACGCATTGAAGCCGCCCACCTGCAGCGAAGTCTGGAAACGCTGGACAGCTCCATCGAATTGATCCGCTTGGTACAGCAGGCAGCCCTCGTCATTGAGGGTGTCAGCATTGCCGCCCGCACGCTGATTTAGAATGCTCTGAGCGCCCGCATAGTCCTCGCTGGAATAGAGAATGGCACTCTGCAGCTGCAGGCACTGCTCCTTGAGTTCGTCATGCTCGTTGATTTGCTTGAGGATGCGCAACGCGTCTGCAAATATGCCCGCTTGGTACAGCGACTGGGCGTAGTAGAACTTATACCTTGACTCCTTGGGCACCAGTTGGCAAAGCTGCTCATAGCAGCTGGCCGCCTCCTCGTACTTCTGAGCATGGTAGTAGCAGTACCCCAGCGTCGAGAGCCCGGCCCGGGTGTTCGCCGCTTCGCCAAAGTTCACAATGCACTCGATGACATCCTCGAAGCGCTTGTCCTTGATGAGGTTGTAGATGGTGCGGGTGACATGTCCCTCGCGCAATATTATGCCTTGATGTAGCATATTCGACGAATATCAGTCAAGAATGAAAATTTATTGTCCAAATTGGCTGTCCTCTGTTTTGTTGTGTCCTTCGCGCTGCCATGGCAACGGTGTCTACGCTATGGCTATGGATGGCTGCGTGGCAAATATGTTTTGGTTTTCGTTTTGTTTACGTGAATCACGAACCTAGTAGCGCACGAGTGTGCTTATATGACGTCATGGTAATCACGACTCACGACTGTCACAGTTCACGAACAAGCATCATTTCTATGCAGTAATTGCTTTGATCATTTCCGTAAGCTTTATAGTTAGTATATGGATTATGTTTTATTATTTAATTTTATTTAATCGCAACTGGTATAAGTTGGTAAATATTTATATGGATTAATTTTTTATGTACTCCCAAAAACTTAAAATATAAATATTATTTGTTGGGCTATATTTTATACACAGAAACAAATATTCGCAAGTTATCTGTACTAAAACTAAATTAATATAATTTTATTCAAATGTTAATCATTTAAAAGGGGTCTACATAAAATAATAAGTATCAACTAAAAATTAATAATATTAGGTCGGCTTAAGAAATTTGTCTGTTTTTATTAATATTATTATTCTCTAACTATTTATTTAAAATAGTCAATAACGTTCACAGACGCTTCCTTCTCTTCCAATTATTATAATTCATACGTCCCTCAGATGTCTAAATGGCATGCTGGAAGCTTAAAAGCGCTATTTATGCTACCCAGTATGAGTCCCAGCTCCAGTTCTATCATAATATTGGGAATAATTTAAGCTAGCTGGAGGTGCCAAACGTGTGTTAATAAAATGAAAGCAACTATGTTTTTATTAATTAATTTAAACAGATAAAATAATCAAATACTGTTGGCAAATTGAAGATTGACAATGGAAACAGTTTTGGACCTCACAGACATTATTTTGAACAAGTTTCGTTACATGAATGCGAATGTGTGATTTATTTGCCTGTAAACTGTGTGGGGTGTCTTAAAATTGTTTCTCTCCAGCATTTTTATTGAACAGATTAAACACGTTGTATTCCTTTGGTACTTACGAGTCAGTTAAAATTTGAAATGTCTGTTGATTTTGGTTTGTTATTTGCCTTTGGTCTTCGTATTAAAATTGCAAAAAGTAATTTTCATGTCAAATATTTTGCCACTTCAAAGAGCATGTAACGCGCCATGTTTTGAGCTGTCAACGGCAGACAGCAGGGGAATCAAATCTCAAACAATCCGAGTAGGTGCTCAGATACCCGTACGCATACGCATACGTGTACTATACTCGGTATGTCATCTGAACACTTGCACACACGAGGGCTGTCGATCTAATCTAAGCATACTTTTGTGATGGTCATTTTTACCGACACAAAAGACACCATTTTTAAAGAATACCAAATGAATGTGTTTAGCAGAAAAAACACTTAAAAGTAGCCACGAATCAAAAAGTAAGCTAATAACAGAAAGATTTAAAACACATGCATCATATGTATATATTTTAAAAGAATTGCAAATGAATGCTTAAACAATTATAAGTAGCCACAAATCAAAAAGTAATGTAAAATAATAACAGAAAGATTTAAAACACACATCATATAGTATATTATTAAAAATATATAATTTTATTTCCCCTCAGCGATTTCTATTTTATACTACATGTGCAAAGTCGTGGAAATTTTTTTTGGAGCAAGTACCTGAAGAGCGGGATCGTTACACTAAGCGGTCGGATAGTTCTCGAATATACATATGTATTCAAATGTGTATTCCAACTCATTGATATGAAATGCAGGCAAGAGCATGATGGCTGCAAACAGCATCAAACAGTAATTGCTTAACAAAGTTGAGCTGCGCAGTTGGCTCACGTCCACATCCCACGTCATCATTCCCATTGCCATTGCCATTCCCATTCGTATTCGCATCCACATCTACATTTAGAGTCCCTGTTGCTGTGATTTATTCCGCTGCTTGGTTGCTCAGAAGATTCGCAGGGCGCTCAACGGAAATGGCAAAGCAAAGCGTTGACCAGCAAGGGGCAAGGACGGACAGAGACAACGGATAGCGACAGCATCATTGCAATTCGGATTTAGTCAGAGCAACAGGCGACTGGCCCAGCTCCAAGTCGCACACATATAGTACACCAACACAAAACACACACACACATACACGCACATAGAGGCACAAGCAAGAACTGGGAACTGGCAAGTCGTTGACGTCTCACGTCGCCGGTTTTAAGACCATGGCTGAGGCCCAAGTCCGGGCAAAAAGGAAGCACTTTGTGGCGCTTGAATAAATCGGCTGAAAGGGAAATGTTAAGAGACTGGATGTCTGGATGCAGACGCTGCTTCGTTTTAGTTCTCGTTTTCCCATTCTCAATGTCGCTTTCACTTCGCTTTCGTTTTAATGATGATTGAGCGGCGTGCAAATCTTGCTGCATACTATGAGGCGGCTATGTATGTGTGTGTGTGACGGAAAAGAGTGTGTTTATTTGTTAAAGCCTGTCCAGCATATTTGCTGCCATTTATTTTTTAATTAAATTTCTTTGTTGGTCGCTGAAAGCTAAGGCGCATCGGATGTCAGCAAATATTGTTAAGGAAACATGTATTACTCTCAAATGAAATTTTTTTATAGCATATATAATTATATACCTTAATAATGTACATATGTATGTATTATTAAAAAAGCTTCAAATATTTTTCTGAACGATTTACTTCAATAAGCTGTTGTCCTGAAATGTTTTAAATATACTGCACTGATAAAAAAAAGAGCTATCAATCAATAGCTATATTAATGTGAGTGCCTCATCGCCTTTATGTTAAGCATTTTTGTTAATTTTGAAAAAAAAAAAACTAAAAATAAAAAATAATGAAAACTAACTAAACTAAACTTTTAATAAATAATTTTAATAGATTCGTCCCGTCCAACCTCTTAAACTTTCATATCAAATATAATAAAGATGTCTTTAGCCTTACCTAGAGCTGACAAAGGTGCTAATATACTTGTAGTTGCTGAAGCTATATTCGAATCTTTTATTCTAAAATACGGGCCTATGAAGACGTTTATAACGAACATGGGAACTGAATATAAGAATTCCATCATCAATGACTTGTAAAAATATGTACACCATCATCAGACACTAGGAACTGTTAAGCGAAACAACAGAACATTCAACGAATATATACATTCTTATATATCGGTAGATACAACTGATTGGGACGTATGGCTTCAATATTTCGTCTATTGGTATAATTCAACACCTTCTATGGCACAAAATTACTGTCCATACGAACCAGTTTTTAGCAAAAGCCCTAACTTAGGTAAACATTTTTATACCCTGTACCCGTAGGGTAAAAAGGGTATATTAGGTTTGTGCAAAGTATGTAACATACAGAAGGAAGCATCTCTGACCCCATAAAGTATATATATTCTTGATCAGCATGACGAGAGAAATCGATCTAGACATGTCCGTCCGTCTGTCCGTCCGTCTGTCCGTCTGGATGAACGCGAGGATCTCAGAAACTATAAAAGCTAGAATAACCAAAGTTGGCATCCAGATTCTCCTAGATCCGAGTAAGGACGAGTTTATTTATTTTTTTTTAATTTTCCCCCCCTTCCCCCGCTACAGAATTTCGTCAATAGCGTCCACATTTCAATTGCTACCTAAACCAAACTTTGCACACATAATTTATAAATAATTATCTACTGTTGCTTAAAATTTTATTCTGTCAATTCTAAGAAAAGTTATTAGCGAAACAAATTCTCGCCAGTACAACCCCCACAAACTGCAGCAACAAGTTCGCTCTTCTTCTTCATCTTTTTGCTGCTGCTTTGGGCGCATATAACTCAGTGACGGAAGTTTACCTGGGTACAGGGTATTACACTGTCGGGCTTGCTCGACTGTAGCGTTCTCTCTTGTAATAACAGAGATAGAGGAGAACCTCCCTACAACGTAGAAGAATATGCTAAGGAATCTAAATTTAAACTAGAAACAGCGTATAAAAGAGATAAAACTATACTGGAAAGTAAAAAGAAAATAAGAATACGATAAAACTATAAATGGTTTTAAATTAGAAATAGGAACTAAGGTTTTTTTATAAAATGAAGTAAGTCATAAACTTGAAAAGATATATTTAGGACCATTTCAATCCAAGAAATTGTTATTTTTATTAAGAATCATTTCAGAAATAAAATATATTGCCATGAATTTTGATGAAAAGAGAATTACTATATACTTGTATATGAAAACAGTGTTATAAAATATTTTATATTATATTAGAAAATATTTTAAATATTTTTATAAAACTATTCAAAGTTGAAAATAATAGAAAAATAATTAAAGTAAATTGTTATATCTATCTTATATCTATCTTACAAATAACTTCATAATCTTACGTTATTTCTCTAATATGGGAGCGCATGCATATAATTATGCAAGTACGCATTAAATATTAAAGCACATAGCTCGGAAGCATATAAAACTAAATGAAGCATTTTGTTACATATTCTGATTGTGTTTATAAGTATTATTAGCGCAGGCCGCAGGTGGATATTTGAAACCGCTTGAGCAGTGAAGAAATGCTGACAACAACCATCCCATGTATTTTTAAGCTACATGTATTTTTAAGTACAGTAGGTTTTCAACAAATTTACAATCGGAGCTTTGCTTTCAATATGGATGATTAATTAAAAGCATTTTTCGATTAGAAATACTTATATTTATGAAGGCTGTAGTTAGTTCCTAGCTGCAGTTTTGCTGAGTCTTCTATAATTTTCTGTAAGCTGCAGATTCTACTCTTTCCCCTCTCTCGCTCACGTTGACTCTCTCGTTCATAACTGACCGGCGCTAAGTGCATAATTCAATTTGAGAAAGCTTCAAAAAGTGAAGACTTCGAGTGCTCCTAAAGTATGCAAAGCATCAAAAAAAAAAAAAATTCACACACACACACTGCATAGATCAACTAGATAGCGACTCGAGAACGACGGCGATGACGGCGTTTGGTTGTATTGCATAAT